TCCAGCTCTCGGCGAGCCGAGACTTGCGTCCGAGGGAGCAGAGGTGGTCCGCTCCGTGTTTTCCGAGTTTCTCGGTCGTGGCTATAGCTGAGCACGCACACGGCTCGATGTCAGACGGGTCTTTTCCAGGTCGGTGACCCGGAAGAAAAAAAATTAACCCGTAAAAACTAAGTTTTTTCACTATAAATCCTTTATATGCGTGGCGGCTAGAGTCCTCTCGTCCTCTGGCTTGAGATGGCTGCCACCTATGGGTCAGATGATTGCCTGCCATCATTAAGCAATTGGTAATTAAGTATAATTTATTTTTTCCTAAGAAGTGTTAAATTTTGGAAAAAAAATTTCACGAAAATAAATTGTCACGCACAACGAGTCTGTGTGCAAAATGTCAGCTCGATTGGATCACGGGAAGTGGGTTAAAAAACGACCGAAAGATTTGCACGGTCGAAAGAAGTCCAACGTACATAAAAGACATAAAACACGTTCGTAAATCGTGCGCTCTCCAGTTTATGAGCAACCCGTAAAATATGCAGTGAGAAATTAAGCCCTGCATACACCTAAACAGAGTATTTTTAATTTCGTTATTCATTATACACCAATTTGGTGACTGATAATACATGGAACAATCAGCGGTCTTGTAAAAATGGTCTATGACCTCAATGAGCTTGTTTAAAAATGTACCTTTATTAACCTAGATGGCACATTCTCTGTCTCGGATTTTACATTATCCATCATCATCATCATCGGCAATAATCAATTCATTGCTGGATGAAGGCCTCCTCAAGCTGACGCCAATTCTCAACATTCTGTGATGTAATAATCCACCGTAGAATATGTACACGAACTGAATTCATCACTCCATCTCCTCCGTGGACGTGATTTTGGACGCGTACCAGAATACTATGTATACATGAGGCTTAAAGATCGACTTTTCATCGCAATTCCTACAGGACGTAGGTTTTTTGTTGTTACCGTTGTTGAGGTTCTTACTACAAACCGCAGCTCACAGTCATAAAAAGACCCTCTCCTCGGAAGGCCCATTAACAATAACCTCAGTGCCCCGTCTGCAAGCATGTGGACCTATATATCCCACATCATTCAAATCGACTGGGTCATTATGTATTGACACCATGACCGGCTTAACCTCCTTTAAAAATACCCCAAGACAGAGAGGGCTCTGCACATCAACGCTGTACACGTGCAACTGCGTTAAATTTAAACCACGTCTCTTCGCCATTCCTGCGGTAGACTTTTGATGAGTTCAAGGAACCCACAAATTGTCCTTGTCACAGCAGGATAGAATTGTGAGTTGTTTTTATTGTATCCTGAATAAAGTCAGCACAAGTCAAACCACCGATCTCAGCCAAAAGATAAACAGTGTATATACAATGACAAAACGAAAATTATTCGCAAATCTCCACCATACATCTCAGCGGCCGTAGCAGCTCCAAGGCATCTGTGCTGCGATATTTATCTGTGCAACACAGCGGCACGGCAAGCACCCTAGCCGTCACTATTGATCTCAGTTCAGGGATAAATTATGGACTTGTGTGGAAGGGTGTAATTGGGATGAACGCAGAACCACCCGCAGGAGATCGTGCGTTCACCCGTGGCTCGCGCTGCGTCCACCACGTTGGAGACCGTTCCACTCGTAGTCGTGGTGGTTAGTGCAGTGCGCGCTGAATACGGTCACCAGAGTTAGACTCCCAGCCACGGTCTACCATCAGTGGCGAGTGATATCCGAACCGGTATTCGTAAGGCGCTTGGATGAGCGATGGCCCTGTCCAAAAACAGGTGTGGTAGGCTACTGCAAGGGCTACACCGTTAGCAAAGTGGAGTCCAGAAAATGTTTTGTTGTACTATACTAGGCTCCATTGGCTATGCTTCCAGCTTTCACTTACCGGTACTGAGCAGTGTGGTGAAGCATGCTCATCCAGCCCCGATGACCGAAAAGGCATGGGGAGGCCTTCATCCAGCAGTGGATTTATGAAGGGTCGTACTCACGCTACGTGATTTAATTGCACGCTGTGTGCCCGATACGTTGTGGCATCTGGCAGTCGCAATTAAACCTCAATCCTGGTGCAATGACGCTGCCAATGGAGCCGTAAAATGTCCACGTGACCCTACGGAATACTAATTTAAAAACATCTAAAATATAGTTTTCAAATAAATAACAAACACGCATTACAAAGCTTAACTACACACGGACATTCTTGGTTAACTGTTCAGTCATAAGTAAGGCACGGCTATCATCTTCCATTGGAAAGGGAAATCAGCAATGGGCGAACAGAAAATAAACAATGGGATGCACTGCTGCGTGTTATTAAGGCTCCCTGATGTCACAAGTCATAAATGATGCAGCCAACAGCTTGCAGTGGGGCTGATCTGTGAGTTTGCTATTGATTCGTATACCTCTCCCCTGTCGTCTCACTTTACTCGCCTCCACGCACCCTCTCTCCTCTCTCATCTGCCTCTGCTGCCTTTCCGCACACTCTCCTACCTCTCCCCCTACCATCTCACTCTATCCCCCCTCCACTCACTCTCTGCCCCCCAGCAACCAAGGCTTGTTTATCAAAGTCCTCAGTCAAGCTTCAATCAATCTCGTTCTGCTCGGAACTCCCTTCCCACCAGCCACTCATGCTGTCAACTCACTGCCTCTCTTCGAGTTCAGCTTCAAGACATTACTTTCTCCATCTGCCTATGATTGGCCGCCCTTTTTATCTCTGTAAAAATAAATGTGCCCACTGTTTCTGTAAAGCCTCTGGAGTTGCCTCCGTATGTGGATGATGCATGAATGGCGTGTGAATGTAGATCGTGGCGTAATTGTGCTGGAATCCGTGCATCCCTGTCTTCTGAAAAAAAGTCACAAAACACGGAGAAGCATTCGTGGATAAATATATTTTAAAAAGTATATTTTTTCACTACAGTATATAAAAACGTATCTTGGCAAGCATGTCATCACGGACGTGAAAATATTTTCAAATATATATTTGCTTGAAGCCAATAATAGCGTAAAAAAATTTGACTGCATTGCATCAACATGGCAAACCTGGAATCGATTCCTAGCCATTGCTAATGTGAGTGGCGAGGGATATTGAACTGGCCCTGGGCCCTCACCATTTCCCCTCTTTTCACCAAACTCCAGCGAAATATCTTCAAGCAACCCACGCGACCGACAAACGTTTGCGTGGGGAGACTTTCATCCAGCAGTGGATTGACAAAGGGCTGCAAATGATGAATGTGCCAGGAATTATGATTAACATCACCTCCAACAGTATGCCAGGTTCTTGGTGATTGTGGAATGATGTTTAAGAGGAAACACATCTGTGGCATATACAACTCTTGGCTCTCGGAGTAGTTTTGTAAAACACTCAGTAAGCCAACTCATAAACAAAACCACATTGGTTTTTTTATCGTTTATAAAATCCAGCACTTGGTATCTTGAATCCGTTTTAAAGCACTCAAAATGTTTTTGTTATTACGCGGGTTTTGTTTCAAGTTTAGCTTGAATTATCTCAATGTTGTGGCGACAAGCATTCGTTGCTGTTTTCGTTTGAAATTTGCCAGGCAAGTTCACATGAAATGTATCTGAAATAAAAGTGGCACGAAGTGTAAGTGCGATTCAGAGAGAGGCGTTCTCAAGTATATTTCAGATAAAGCCAGCAGCATTTTCTGCAGAACTCAGCACCTGTTTGACATTACACATTGCCCGCTTCTTTGCGACTGTGATGCATGGTTTTGTAAATATTAAAAGTATTTACAATTGTATATTTTTCTGAGACAAAACTTCGTAGTATTGCGGTGTTAGCAATCTGGTGTCAGTACAAACGGGAACATAAAAATAATGTTTGTGGAGTGGAGTGGTGAAGCCCTGAGCAATGAGCCTGGTGACCTACAGTAAGTTTGAGTCCTGGCCACGACTAACATCAGCAGTGAGTGATACCTGAATGTTTCCTCATCTTGACTCACACGATGAGGAGACATTCATCCAGCAATGAATTTACAAAGTACTTTCAATGATTATTATGATCGCATACATCCATATATCTCATGAATATGACTGTCAGATGTCAACAAATAATATACACAATCTGATTATTTTAAAGGCCTTGGTACATCGCACGCACAAAAGGCCTGGCTGTTGAGAAGCAGTACAATGGTACAGTATTTTTGCTGTTGTTGCTAAATATTCCCTCTTCTCCCTACAGCGATTATATTACTTTGCAAGGCCATTTTCCACTCCACTGCAGGTTTGTGCACTGACCCAATCATCCGGTACTGGGCAGAGTAACTCAAAACTCTCGAAACCTCCCCGGTAACCACAATTAATCACGGCAGTCTGCAAGTCATGTGACTAATATTGACCAATCGTGGATGATGATGATGATCAGGCTCACATCTCAAGTCCGAAGCTCGTTTGTGTCGGTGACGCCTACAGAAGTAGCAGTTGACTTCTCTCAGCCCATATCCAAGTGGCACCGATGCACGCGTGCCACTGCACAGCCAAGCGCACACACTTGCCACACCGATTCCTGCCGACGAGCTTCAAGCCACTCACCCACGGGAACAGCCAAGAAACACTTAAATATAAACCACCACTTATGTCCACAGCGTTGAATTACCGTTATTTTTGTATCTCAGTTGCTAAGCGATTCACAGATGGATCTTCCGGATAGTGACAAAGTGAACAAAATGTGTTCTTCCTAAATCACAAATCCTTTCGGAATCTCTCGGTGTGACTGGGTCACACGGGTGCGGAAAAACGTGGCTTTGACACCCAGTAGCTGTGATTTAATATCCCACATTGAGCCCCAACGGCTACGAGTTTCAGGTAGAGAAACTCTACGTTTACAATGTTTCAGATCCTATGCGTCAACAACGCATTTTGTGAAGACACTGAAGCGTTTGGTGTTGTACTCATCACACTTGCTGGACACGGCCCCAAAGGCCCAGAAGAACCAAGCGATCGGTAACAAACAGCGCTGTTAACGGTGGAACAGATAAAGAGTTTTCAAACGTTTCTTGAATTCGAGCGAGGGTTACACAAAAGAAATTGGAATAAGAGACGATGGGAGGGACCTTCGAAAAGTGGGAGCAGTGCGAACAAAGAAGAGGGGATAGGAGTGTTGTGACCTCCGGTTGATGTGGTTGGTGGTGGCGGCTGGGCACAGTGTGTACGGGATCGAAAGGATCGAGGCTAGAAACACGTGTGGGATTTTTGCACACAGCGTTGGTGTACGGTGTTTTTTTTCTGCAATATTTTGCTGTCTTTTCTTGGATTTTCTGTTTGCACTTAGTCACATATTCACTTTAAGATGTTTTTTGTTCATGTTTATGTTTTTTGTTTGTTGCGGTTGCACCCGATTCAAGAGCTGAACGGCTCACAGGCCTATACCTGATACATGAACTTGAACTTGAGATCGCGAGCGAGCGTCAGGGCCACGCAACGTCCGTGTTGTGGCCGGCCGCAGGCACCGGGTGTGCAATGCACGCGAGGCTGCACCTGCTGTGCTTGATGAAAACAACACGATAATCCAACTTCGTTGAGCTATCATTTGCGGCCAGGTCGTTTCTGAAAAAGAAGATAATTAGCACAGTGGGCTTTACCTGGTAAGATTAAAACAACAACAAAATACTATGGGAACCTCATTTGCCAGTAAAAATATGATGATTGGTTTTTTACCCTTCTATCTGGCAACAAAACTGACACCTTTTTATAAAGTTATGTCTTTTTTACGAAGTTATGTCTTTTGTTTGCATTATGACTGCAGGTATTGCGGTCTATGCAAACATGACTCCTTGTAAAAAGGTGTCAGTTTTGTTGCCAGATAGAAGGGTAAAAAACAACAAAATAGTTTCGTTTTGTTTGTTTCAGTGATGTGTTTACCGTTCCTATACCTTGCACTCCGATCGTGTGTATGTGTTGTTGTGGAAACGTTCTGACCCGCGCCTACTGGGCATCTGTGGAAAATAATAGCCTCTTAGCTCATCGCGTTCCTCCACTATAGATGAATATTCTCATTCTCACCGAGGGCTCAACATCGGCAGAGGAGTCAATGAGCCACGTTTTGCTTTCATAATCAACGTTTTTGGGTTTAGATCACGTTATTTATAAATGTGTCGTAACCCTCCACCACCCGACACGACCAATCAGCAAAAAAAGTGTCACGTTGACAAAAGACAAATAGTTCACTGCTTTAGCCCACCGGTGTGTTGAAGCGTGAAACCACAACATTTAAAAAAAAAATTACAAAAAATTATAAATAGTGCGATCTAACCCAAAAACGTTGATTATGAATAATATTGATCGCGAAAGCCTGCTACGAGTTAACACGTTTTGCTTTGTTGATGACACAACACGCTGCCCGAGCAGTGGGCCAGGTGCCACATCAGAGTCCAAATTCCTGTCGAGTGGACGAGACAGGCCTGACGACCCACTGGATTTACTTTTACGAAGAAGGATAAATGACTCGGCTCATTCGAACCGAAATTGACGTGTTGTGTGTTTTCTTTTTAAATATTTTGTTACATTACGTGACTGACAGTTTTCCAAAACGTAGTTGTTGTTATTTGACAACGGCCTATACCGGCATCCCGTATCCCGTTACGGTATTTATACATTGTCATTGCATTGCAAGTACGTTCTTCCTTATGACTGTTGGTGATTGTATGGAAACCCATCATGTGTAACTTATTGAAAGTTAAAACGTATTTACTGTGTCACAATGAGCATCAATTACACGTACGACGCGTTTATTGACCGATCATTTTTTTTCCAAATAACTTTAATTCACGTAACAAATACAAGAAACCGAGCAACCGTGTCTGCATAAAGCATTACACAATCGCCTATTTCGATTAAAATGGCAATTACGAGATGCAATTCATGAGCGAAGATGCTCTATCGATGATTATCGAACGTTTGGGTCCTATCTATGCACGTTTAATTGTGTGATGTATTTCCCCACGTTTGTGTCGTTTGACATTATTGCATCTGCGCTTCGTTTGGTGAACATTTGGAAGGCAACTGTTGAAAGGAATTGTCCATTTTGAAGCGACAGCACAGACAGTTTGGAGAGTTATTCACGACCAACGATGTACCACATTGCTCCTCTCTCTAAACAACGCCAAGGTTAGATTCCTCAGCACGGACCTAGAGGGAATTCATTCAGGCCAAGCGGCCACAACACAATACAGCTCTCGGGTATACACGGCGGTGTACGATGGTGCGTGTTTTTTTTTACAATGACATCATGATTTAACATCACGGGAACTGTTTAGCCCGTGTTGACATAGCGGCAGCGTAAACACGATCATCGCCGACATTCTTAACCCGATCCAAGTTCACCAGAAAACCGATAGGCAAATTTACAGCTCACATCACCGCGTTGTCGCCCCAACTCCGTTCCAAGTTTACACTCGAAGCGGCCTTCTTTAAGGGCAAGCAGATGAGCTTGTTTTCGAAGCGTGCATTCTTCTGTTTGGACTGTGTCATTGCGTAAAGCCCCCCCTGAGTTCGTTCTGTCTAATTATTAACAAATGTGAGCCAAATCGCCCTTCGTCGGGGTGGTTTGGGGGGTGGAGGAGGAGAGCCGAGGAAACTAAGTGCGAGGGGGGCAGGGTGGGAACCGGCGATGCCTTTGAAACACGTCAGCAATTGTAATGGGGGAGTGGGTGGGTGAGGGGGTGTTTCTTTGAAGGAGAATTGCAGGCAGATCGCTCAAAGGAAAATGAGCACAGACAATCAATAGAGCATTTGTAGTGCCCCCCGGTAAGATGTGAATTGGAGCTCCGTGGTCGTACGAGTTTAAAGAAGAACGCTTGATTGGTGGAGTGGAGATGGTAGGGTGGTGGTGGTGGTGGTTGGTGGTGGTAGTGGTGGCGGTTGGTGGTGGTAATGGCGGTGGTTGGTGGTGGTAGTGGTGGCGGTTGGTGGTGGTAGTAGTGGTGGTTGATGGTGGTTGGTGGTGGTAGTGGTGGTGGTTGGTGGTGGTAGTGGCGGTGGTTGTTGGGGTTTGTGGTGGTTGGTGGTGTTAGTGGCGGTGGTTGTGGTAGTGGTGGTTGGTGGTAGTGGTGGTTGGTGGTGGTGGCGGTGGTGGTGACGCAGCGGCGGGTCGCTCAGCTGCGCTATGAATCTGGCCACCTGAGTTCGGCTACCGGACGCGGCTCACATCAGTGGCGAGCCACATCTGAACCGGACCTGACGGCAACGCCTCCATTCCCCCCCTTCATGAACCTGCACGGACTGGCGTGGTGGAGTCCGGGCGAAAGGGAAACTAACACGACTGGCACAGCGTGGGGAAGCCTTCACCCCACGATGGCTTGCACAAAGGAAGTGCACTTCGAGTTAAAGCTTTTGTGACTGCAGGGATTCATCTTCTTGGTTCTTTCAGTAAATAGACGCTCCAAGCCTGGGGTGTGTCATTCAGACTCTGTCTTCTCGACAGACCTGTTCTTCACCTGAGGACGGCTGCTTGCGTTGTGACCGAAACGTCGTGAGAATGATTTTATAATGTTTTATTGTTATTATTTTATTATTTCCATTCTACGTGACTTTACCGAAATAACCAAGAAGAAGAGCACTTCATTGTTACTATACGCATCGTCCTCTACACTGAAACTCTGCACTCTCTGCTCGACGCTGAAATTCGTACTCGCACTTGTTGAACGCATTAGCATTAATTGTAAGGAAAATACATTTAGAGTGCGGTATATACACAGCCTGTTTCTATTCAATCTTTTGACACTAAGTAATGTTTCAAGTATTTACTCAGCTAATGCTTTACACGTGGCGTAGTGTAAAACGGAGAGCACAACGGTACAATAATAGCCACATGTTTCAACAATTAAACAATACGTAAGTTGATCAGCAGCAGGAGCAGCCATGATCGGTCCACCGCTGAACGAATGCTCTCCCTTCGCCGCGGCTATCTCTCACTGTGCTTCGATGGTGACCTTTGGAACCGGAATCGACTTGACCCTAACAAGCAAATACCGCAGAAGGCCAGTGACGCCCTCGTCCTCAACAAATCCATCACGGGAGGTGACCACACGCACTCCGGTCGGCGTGATGCCACCAAGTTGCACTTCAACGCAGCCAAGAGAAGGGAACGCGTCAATTGCGGGCAAATGAGTTAATGACCGTCAAACAACCGACAGCCACGTGATCACACCCACAGCACAACATGGCACGATCTTTAAAAATAAAAATGTTGAAGAATGTAAAACCACAAGTTGTTCAATTAAAGACGCGATGCTGAATGACTCTCTAGCTGTTGACCTCTGACCCACATCGCTGTCGACCCGAGGTGAGGCGCTCTGATCGCGGCGTGGGTGTATATCCCTGTATGTGGGACTTCTTTCGCACCGTACGTAGCCAACCATGCTCTTCGGAGGTGTATAGTCATTTCACCCCATTCATGCCTCGGTGCTCAGTGTCAATGATGATAGGTTTGGAGGTGGTTGAAAGAGGAGCGACGGTGATGGTGGTGGCAGAGATTGGTAGTGGTGGTGACGGTGGTGGAGGTCGAGTGATGGTCGTGGTGGTGGTGACAGTGCTGGTGGTGTCAATGGTGGCAGAGATTGGGTGATGGTGACGGTGGTGGTGGTGGTGGCGGTGTTGGAGATTGGTTGGTGGAGGCAATGGTTGGTGGGGGTAGTAGCATCATTGTCCCTTCGTACACCACGATTATTGGTTCCACGTGTGCTACCTCGTTCAGGATTTTCTTCCATTTCCTGGCACTCACGCGCACATTGCGAAACTCCCTCAAGCGCCATCACCCAGGGAGGGACTCTGATCGTGCCTTGCCCGTGGAGCGTCACAATCGCAACGTGGCTCTGGGTTTTGTTCCCGAGTGGGCCCTCCGCATCGTAGCGTTAGAAGGACTGGGGCTGGGGGAGACTGAGCGCCCCCCCCCCATTCCCCAGATTAAGGCTCAGCCCCCCCCCCCCACCACCCCTTCCAAATTCTTATCGTGAAGTCCAAAAATGTTGGCGTAATATTTCACACGATTGTGGCTCGCTTTAAAAATTCCCCAGTTTGGCGAACACAGCCTTTCGCCGTCCACACACAGGGGGAGAGAGCTGATGCGGAATGCGTGATAGACAAGGGAGGATTATTAACCTTGCTCTGCTTAGCATTTAAAATTGGGAGCACTGGAGGGGGCTGCCCTCCCACCCCCCCTGTTTGGAGCCTCAGATACCCCCCTTATAAATATTTTTTATTGTAAAAAAAAATATTGGGACGACAGTTTGTTTAACATTGGCAGTGTAGTGCCCCTCCTGAGATTCGGCATGGCCACACACTTTAACCGAGGTCAACGCTTCAGGCCTGGGCTCTCCGAGGAGGAGCGGTGGCCTTGTGGTTGTGCTCTCTCACGGTGGCAAGATGTTCACTACCTCGCCTGGTGCATAACGAGCACGTGGGTTCGAACCGGACCCGGATGCCTGCTGCATATTTGGAGTTTTTAATGTTCTTTCCCCGTGGTCTCGTGGATTTTCTCCGTGTCCTCCGGTTTTTCCCCTCCCCATTTAGAATCAACACCACGCCTTTAGAGTGTTTGTCTGCCGTAGCCATTTCGTTGAACTGTCATTTGTGGCCCAAATCGCTTCTGAAAAAGAGCTATACAGCTCAGTGGGCCTTATCTGGTAAAAAAATAAATTAAACATTGTTTAGTTTTAGTTCAACTCTAACGAGCGTCGCTGGATGGACTCCTCGTGGTGGCACGAGCGATGGAGTTCCCACGGAGGCATGGAGAAGCCCTCGGTTGGAGGCCGTCAGCTGGGGCGAGGTGATGGTAACCAGATGTCACCTGAACGGGGAGGTCACAGCGGTTGTTGATTAAGAAGATGTGAATAAATGTAAGGGGGCAGTTGACGATTCATCATCAACGCGTTCTGTATGAAAACGGCAGCGCAACGAACCGTTGCGGAGGTGTCAAATGCGTAATGTCGCATTTTCAGAACGTAAACAGTCACGGCCGGAGATTGTGTTCACTGCGTTAAAGTGCTCGTACTCAATTTCAGTTTGGGGTTAATGGTTTTTCTTTTTTTGTCGTAAAACTGCTGCCCTAGACAATTGTTCACTGTTAGCAATTTTTTTTGTAAAATTGTAGATTGATGTATATCATATGTTACAGAGTTATGCCAAAGAAAACACACACCATGATTTTAACTCAGAATCATTAATTTTAGCCCAAGTTCCTTTTCCAAACACTTCATTTTATATATGTATAGTATGAGTGGATTAAGAAAATATTTGAGAGTGGGAAAGTACAATAAAGACAAAGTTCCCCCGTACAGCTTTCACAGACTGTTGGGAACAAGTGCTGTTAGCGAGCACCTATGAAGGCCAGCATGGCACACTAGGGGTTTGGTTGGCCAGCACCACATCCGGCCGCCTTTGTCTCCCCAATTGGCGATGTTTACTAGTTTGAGGCTGAGTCGACCTAGGGGGATGGCCAGGACTGGTTCATATCGATACTGTTGTTGGCCGTGAGCGAGACTCGAACTTGGGTCAATGGGTTCATAGCGCAGCGCACTCAGCGTTGCGCTATCCGCTCCCTACACAGAACAAAATGCATGAACCCACACACTCCAAATTACTATTTAAATTGACCATCACCATCATAAATATTATTCAACCTATAGATGGGATGTGTGATGCGTACAAACATTTGGTTGGTGCGACTGTCTTTAAATTAACTATTATTATTGTTTTACCTTTTCTCAAAGTTTTTGAAGTGCAGGCATTATGTAATATACAAACGGATATGCATACACGCAGAAAAAAAATCGTGTATTTACATGCAATTAACCGGTTCCACTGAGAGGAAGAGAAACACATTCATTGGAGAAGATGCACGAGTTGGAAGCGTCATATTGTTGTTGAGAAAAGAAGGGATGCTGGCCGGGCGGTCAAGATTAGCGACAGAGTGGCAGGTAAAGGAAGGAATAAGCCCAGAGGGAAGTTCGCCATGGAGATGGAGCGATGAAATCAGCACATTTGCAGGAACTAGACGGATTGTTGCACCCCGAATGGGAAATGGCAACAGCTTAAAAAGGTCTTCAACCATCAGAGGATATATCATACATTACTAAAACTAGACTATATTTTATTTTACCAGGTAAGGCCCACTGAGCTATGTAGCTCTTTTTCAGAAACGATCTGGGCACAAACGATGGCTCAACGAACTGGCTTATCACGTGGAAATGTATAAAAAGTGAAATACTCTAAAAGCGTGTTTCTAAATGTGGAGGGAAAACCCGTAGGTCCCGGAGAAAAATCCACGCGAACTCCAAATGTAGGCGTCAGGATCGAGATCGACCCCACGCCCTCGTGTATACCAGGCGAGGGAGTTAACGTCTCGCCACCGTGGCGCGTACTGCCATCAGTCATGGTTTGGTAATAAACAGCAAGTTTGATTTCAATTGCGAACACATTTGACTTCTCCCTTTTACCGGAGGAAGCCATCGCTTGCCATTCATCACCTCGGTCACAGGACAGCTTTTGTCTCTGCGCAGCGATCGTTCCGTGCATATTTCTCCGCTCACCCGTCGATGGAAGCTCCTCTTTTTCCGGTGGCGGCGGCGGCTCCAGGGATGGCCCAGATAGTTTTTTTCGGGTCGGTATGTCCATGTGGTCACCAGAAACCTGCGCTCAGTCGCCCTCGGCGGCATGCCCCCCCCCCCCACAACGAGACGCTCCACCACTTTTTGTAAAAAATAACAAACACCACAAAACGCTCAGTGAAAGAAAATAACAAACGAAAGTTCACACAGGAGCCGTCGGCGTTGCGCCAACACATGAAAGTTCAAACGCTCATTTGAATAGAATTGGCCAAACGTCCCCCAATGTGCAAGGGGACCTCCTGAAAGAAGAGCACTGGGAATCGGAGACGCTTTCCTGGGTAATTAAATGGGCATTGCGAGGAGAGAGTACAAGGCAATGCGACGCGTCCTTTAAAGAAACGTACAAGTGAGACGTGTTTGGGCTGGACTTCTGGACTTTGATTGGACCTCCGTCTCGATGAGGCATGCTCTTTCTTCCTCTGTGTTTATTCGGGGAGGTATAAATCGTGTTTATTTGACCAGGGGAAGAATGTGTAACCTGCAGACCGTGGCTCCCTCATTTTACATCTTTAAACATATCACGCTTGGATATACCGAGCACACAGAGACGCGTGTGCACTGGGAGAGCTGTAAATCAAGGGATACGTTCTGAATCCAGAAAGCAAATGGTCTGTTGAAAAGTTCAAATAAACATCGGTTGGTGTTGTAATGTCCTTCTCTCGGATGCCGTGTTTTAAACGGTGCTAAGGAATTGCTCGCTGCAGTACTCTGAACGTGTCCTGGTGCTTTACAGGCTACGGCCGCATTGTGCCGCACGGCTAATGCATGGCCACTGTCTAGTGTTCGTATCCAACACTTTCTATCAACGATGATAACCCACCCCCCCCACAATCACAACAGGAAAATACGCGCAGGCTGGACACGAGTTTGGTAGTACATGTTGTTCACGTCGTTTATTGTGAAAATTCGGTCACAGTTCCTATTACCACTGACTGTTTCATTGCTTTTATGGCTTTATTTTGGTGATTTTCGATAAGTTTTTTTGGTTTGGCCATGTTTGTTTGTTGTAGTACAGAGTTAGACTGGTGGCCTTAATCTAATTGGTTTTGTGGTTGTTGTTGTTTGACTTGCATCCCATTGGGATTTTTGCACATTTTTGTGTACAATGTTTTTCTGCAATATTTTGCTGTCTTTTCTTGGATTTTCTGTTTGCACTCAGTCACATTATTCACTTTAAGATGTTTTTTGTTCATGTTTTTGTTTTTTTGTTTGTTGCAGTTGCACCCGATTCAAGAGCCGAATGGCTCACAGGGCTATACCTAATAAATGAACTTGAACTTGAACAGATTGAACGACACGCGGCGGTGTGCTGCTCGCAAGTAGCAGGAAGGCACAGCCCGGTGAACATGCTGCGTTGTGCCCACGTTGGCAACTTGCGTTGGAGCCGTCCGACCAATGCTGTGGCCAAACGTTGGTTCAAACGTTCCATGTTTACCGGGAACACCCATCATGCCTTGCGTGCATGTCATGTACAACGCTCTCAGTTTTATGCAGACCTGTTGGTGGGGTGGTCACATTTTCCCAGCGCTTTGAGTTGGTGGTCTGGGCAAGGCTGAGAGCGTTGTACAGACAATGCGTTACCTGTACTCAAGTGATGTGCAGGAAATGCACAATGAGAGCTGCGCCTGCCTGCGGGTTGCGGGCACGCATATTTGTGCTGTCAATTCGATTGTGAGTGAAATCGAAAGTGCATTGCTGCAGAATGGTTAACGTCCCTAAAATGCAAATGCAGGAGACACCCGATTTGTATTTCTCCTTCATCCCCTCGTGCATGAATTGCTAAAAGCAAAACCAAAAACTGTTTTTGGTTGATCTAATGCGACGTTATGAGTCAAAGTAATCCACCAGATGTGTCGATAAATAGTTACAGAATCACATAGCAGTCATATACGGCGCATCATAGCGGTCCACCACAGTGCACACGCTGCGTGAGAAATCAGTGGTTACGCAATTCATGGGGTCGCTGGCAGAAAAGTAAACACTTCATACGTCAACAAGTCAACATCTAAACACAAGCCAGCACTCAAACACGCTCTCTGGTGTCACATCCTGTGCTTTCAAATGCCCTTGGGCTCGGCAATTGTTAGAAATGCTTTGTGTGAGTACTAAAGGAGGGAAAGCCATGACATGTCATGAAATCATCAGGTGAACGATTGACATTTTCACAAACAGTGGAATATGTTTACGTTTAACGCGTAGGAGGCTTTCGCGACCAATATCCATAATATAGGTTTTTGGGTCAGATTGTGT